AACTATGTCACATTCAAAGCCACTCAAATCACATTTACTCCTCATTCTGATGCTCAGTTTGAACTTCAGCAGGTCGTTTTGATCAGATCCGTGTGAGTAACTGCGTTTGAATAACTGCCGTGTGAAAAATGACGACCCACAAAAACTACAACACTATGTACCACTAGAGGGCAGCACAAACCGTGGAGTCATGCCTGAATGCAAGGATAAGCTGCATGAAGAATACTTCCACACCACACTGGCAGACACATGCACAACAACAATTCAGAAACACACACACAAACGGAAACCTTTACACACAACACAAATTGATTATTAAACCTAATCCTAGTGTGTTCTGAGTGTTCTACAGTTATAAGCTAAGTATATACAGATATTATATGTGTATGGACTGAAAAATTCCATTTATTATTTTTTAATGTCACCTCATTTTGAATTGGATGTCACAAAAATCATCAAAATATTTCAAAAACTTGAGACAGAGAAGTTGTGTAAGGCTGAAAACCAAAAAACAAGCAAAAATAAAGACATGTTGTAAAAAGAGCTTCCTTTTTTTTTTTCACCGAATATTTGTATATGTGTATATGGGGTCAGAATGCACATTTGTGTCTGTGTGTACCTGTTCGTCTCTGTCTATATGTCAGGTCAGGTCTTAGACTCTACCCTTCAGGGAACATCTCAGGGTATGGAGGCCTATCTCCCCACACTCCCTGCCGGTGGCTGATGCCCTCAGACGTTGGTGGTTCTTGGTGTCCGGGGCTGGGCGCTCAGGCATGTACCGGCTCACTCCCGGTGGCTACTTGGCGGGGCCTGGCACCTGTGGCTCGGTTGGGCCCTTTCCGGAGGGTGGGGCCTCTGGGCCGTCAGGCCTCTGGGCCGTCAGGCCTCTGCGGCTCGGTCCACTCTGGCGTGGCTGGCTGCTAGCAGAGCCCGCGGGCACGTCACTGCAGCCCCTCTGGCTTCTGCTCCGTGGCTGCTAGGTGACCGCTCGTTTGGGGCTCTCCTCAGCTCTTCCCAGGAGGGCGGCACGGATGCCCCTCCGATGGTCCTCCTTGGGCTCTCGCACTCTGGGGCCTCTGGATGTCTGAGGGCTGGATCTCCTCTATGCCTGCTTCATGCCCTGGGGGACGGGGCTATGGCTCCCCACACCCTCTAGCAGACCATTACATGGAGAAACCTTTTGAATACAAGTGTTGATCCACACAGGTGTTCACAGACACAAAGGTGACCAGGTGGGAAAATAGTTCAAAGTGTTGTTTTAATGTAAGCTGCCAGGCAATTTAATAGATGCATATTTTATCATTCACACTAACTCAAACACTCCAGCAAATTCTAAAAAGGCTTTAGCCCTTAGCAGCAGCATATGACACTCTGAGCTGTCATATCAGAATTGCAACAGTAGCTTCACTCTTAATACTTAACCCTGCTCTGAATGTTTTTGGTATGTTGCTCAAAAAGAAATAAATTCATAAATGTTTAGCATGTGATATAAATCATTTGTACAACTCTCTTCCAAAATCATATTTTAGTTGTGTTTTTAAATATTTTGTTATTATATTCTGCTTTTTAAAAGTTTTTCCAGAGCATTTCAAGTTTTTCAGAAATAACCTTTATACCCTGTCATTTAATGTTTTTCAGGTCAGTTTTAGTTAAAATATACTTTACTATTTCTAATGTCTGTATAATTCATAGGTCATACAAATGCAGTGATGTGATTACAGGACAGTCAGGGTAAAAACCGAACACAGCCTTACTGTTTTCATTGGAGTTAGGTAGGTCAGGAGCTGCTAATCAAAGGCGTTTGAGTCCCTAAACATCAGCAAGTATGAGCACCCCCATAAATGCATGAGGCTTTTTTCAGTTTGCTGGTGTGGAGCATTCAGGTGTGTGTTTGCACATCTTCACTTCTCTGAAGATTAATCCTGAGGACAGATCCTTCAGTGCTCAGAGAAAACACAGCTGTAAAAAATACTCACAAACCTGCGCCTAAATAAGTCCACAGTGGTTTGAGAAACTAATAATAGTTTTTACTTATAAAGCGAGTTCCACAAACTGCTGAATCATAAAGTCTACAGTGGTTTCTAATTGACTGTGAAATTAAAGGAAATCCGAAATGTTACTTCAAAACCTCTGTTCACAAGATCATATTCCTGTCTGACATTTTGCAACTTGATGGTGTCATGAACTCTAGCGTGACCTGATTGGCTCATAGGACAAGGGGGAAAAAACAGGAAGTGATTGCATATACAGATATTTCTCAAAAGCAGTGGAATGGGGGGAAGGAGAAATACCCAAACCTGAATAAATGTTACAGTTTGCTGTTTCAAAAAGCTTAATTCTAAATCCAAACAAAAATTAAATTAATAAGTCACACTGAAAATATCACAGTGCAGTGTTTACTGTCTCTAATTAAAAAGTGGATTTTTCAGAGAAATGAATTACATTTCCTTCTTATTTTAGAGATTACGAGTGTTTTGTGTACCTTAAGCTTTACTGCTTGTGGACTATTGACAAAACATTTCTCCTTGTTTCTTACAACAAAAGTATATTTAGCTTTGTTTCTTTAGCATCTCTTTAGGTCTTCACCAACTTTGCTCTCGCTGTGCACACAAGGCTGAGCACTATCCCTGCCTCAACTTTGTGAAAACTTGTACTTATGTTTTATTCACACAGAAAGTCACACTTGCTCTCTTAATGCACTGCTTCACTGGTATTTTAGGAACCTTCAAGCCAGAAGTTTTTACTCAACACCTGTCCTTTGACTGTTTCCTTTTATGGGCTTTTAAAGAAAGTTCAAAAGAAGTTGCAAAAATTTTGTTTTTTATCTTTTTTTTAAAGTTTGTGTGAAGCGGCAAGAAAGAGTTCACACACAAAAATATGTAACCACCAAAACAAATGTAAATTTGACAAATTTAGCAAATTTAACAAATTTAACTGATCAAAAAAGATGAATAGTTTAAAAAAATGTGGATAAATGAGTACCACTCTCTGCCCTGAAAAAAATGAATGTTGTGCAATACATGGGGCATTTTATTATAGTTGAGCTGGTGGATGTTTCCATGATGGAAATCTCATCCCAAAGGTACTCTGTTGGATTGAGATCTAGTGTCATGTTCACGAAACTGGTCTGAGATGATCTGAGCGCTGTGGCACATTATCCTGCTGGAAGCAGTCAGAAGATGGTTACACTGTTGTCATAAAGGGACTGACAGCACTCAGGTAGGCTGTGCAATTTAAATAATTCTCAGTTAGGACTAAGGGGCCCAAGTGTGCCAAGACAATATTTCTAACGTCACCACTACCATCACCATGGAGGCAACAATGGAGCCATGCTATCATGTTTTTATGCCACATTGTGGCCTTACCATTCAAACGTCACAGCAGAAATTGAGAGCAGGTGTTGTTTTTTCACTGTTCCGACATCCAGTTATGTGAGTCTGTGTAAAATGCATCAGTTTCCTACTGTTAGCTGACTGCAGCGGCACATGATGTCTTCTGCTCTAATCCAGCTGTACACTAGGTTTGACATGTTACCTCCAAACTGTTATTTGAGTGATTTTCTTCAGAACATCCTTTGGAAACTGTAGAGATGGATGTGTGGGAAAATCAGCCATGAAACAATCAAAATCACTTAAATCACCTTTTTTCTCCAGGATGGCTTTATCATGTACACGCACCTAAATGCACTTATTGGTCAACAAACGGTCGAACAGGTGTACCTAATGAAGTGGCCGGTGAGCGTATTATTAATAGTAATCTAAATAATAGTCTAAATTAATGGATCATTCTTCTTTTGTTGTTGTTGTTGTTTTTTTATATGTGAAATTGTCCAAAATTGGCATAAAAAAATAGACACAGCTCTGAGATGAATACAGTCCTGTAAGATGTAGTGAAATACAATATAAACCTTAAATGTGTACTTAAACTGTTATTGTGATCAGGCATATGAATGAAATCATTCTCCTAAATGTTATTGTGTTTCAGAGACTATATAGACTATATACACTCTGCTGAGTGTTTTCTGTTTTCTCCTTCCTTTTTTTCAAAGCGTAGTCCCTCGTGTGGCTTTCGGGTTTTAATGTTTACTTGCCTCATTGTCCACTATCTTTTAATAACCTGTAAGTCACTGAAGTTCTTTGTTTTACTGCTGACCTGTTTCATTAATTTCGCCTGTGCTAAATCAACATTGTTTGCACACAATCAGAGGATCCATTCTGGCATTCTCTGTCTGCTGGACAACTGCAGGATCATGCATTTTTCTCTTTATACTTCTTGTCAATAAAGGTTGAGGTTTAAGTTCACTGTCTATTGTAATATGTGGCACTTTCCCCATACTCAGTGTTCCACAGCTTTTTATGTTTATCAGTCATGTTACTTAAGCTTGGTTACATTTTCATTTTGATACAAATTCTTTTACTTTCTTTTTTTGTGTGTGTTTTTATTATTTCTTCAAAGGAGTGAGTTGCATCAGCCACATCTGTGGTCTCCTCAGTTTCTGTCGTGACGTTCTATTACGGGATGACTATTCAAGGCCAAATAGCCCCCTGTTTCCTGGAAACAGCTGTAACCTCATGACGACATGGAGGCTGCGGTTCAGTTTAATAAATTGCTACTCTAAAATCTGGGCATACGTTTAATGGAAATCAGCAAAAAAAATAAAAAATTAAAAAAGGTGAGACGGCTCCAACATGCATGACAATGCGAGAATCCCTCTGCTGTAACTACGCAGTCAGCGACTCCATTTGAATAAATGCGATGCTGAAGAAGAAAGCAATCGCTCTAAAGTCTGATTAATTTGTTGGTCATTCAGTGTCTGTGCTTTTGGATCTGTGTGTGTGTTTGACAAACAGAGAGGCGATGTGAGGGTGGGTTTGTGTGGAAAAAGAGAAGCAGCTATATGAGGAAAGGAAGACAAAGCTAGACACATGACAGTAACACAGAGAGGAAGTCTGCGTGTGATAGACATGATACAAAGAGAACCACTTGAAGTAACTGCGACACAGATAACAGAGCACACATCTTCACTTCTGCCTCTGACCACAACGACTGAAGCTCACCTCAGCTCTGAGAGATCAGTCCAGTAACTGCAGGTAAGGACTCTGAACTTTGTCTGGACTTGTCAGATGACATTGTTACTTGATATTTCCCACTTATGACCAAAAGTTTTACATGTATTGTGGAGTTTTTACACACTTTGTTTTCTTACATCATCCAAATTTTTAAAAAGAAAAAACCAGGTAGGGTTTCCTTATATAATTCCTTAAGAGTTTGAGCTGTATATATTTGATTGAACTTACAATCGGGTGGTGGTTGTGATTGATACTAGACTAAAAAGGGGAAATATGTTATGATAATCTAAAGACTACACTCATAAAGAAAATGATTAAAGATTTGATGCATTAGATGCTACAGGTTCAGTAGGCAGAACACTTTTGAACATTTATCAACACATCCATTCATTTTATTAACCACTAATTCAGTGCAGGGTTGGGGAGGTAACCTACCTCAGCTGACAATGAGGGAAAGGTTGGGTACTCAGCAGTCTATCACAGGGACAACACAAATACATAAACATTCACACTGACAATCAATTTCTAATTATCAGTTGATCTAATGTATATGTCTTTAGACTGTGGGAGGGTGATAGAGCACCTGGAAAAAAAGAACACGCATTACAAATACTTCAGAACTACCAACACCACAAACACAGTTAGTGACCCAGATTAGAGGAGGCTGTAAATCAGGTGTGAGCAATTAGTTTCCCCAAGAGGTCAAATGACAAATTGGGGCTGTTGTGGAGGCTTGCTTTAGATAATATGCCAATTTTATAAGCCGTGCAAGAATTATGGTAAATACTGGTGTTTCAAACATAACATGCAGAAACAGCAGCTTGATTTCTAGTTATTACACAATGTTTTTGTGCATGGACAGTACCTTTTATGAAATTTCACCATGACTGTTTTTTTACATACAGGATACTATTAGAAAAGGCTACCACAAAAGACATCTAAGATTATGTCCACATATTACATATGTGTAATTGTGACCTCTACAAACCACACATTCAGGTTCCCTATATGTTAAATTTAAACACAGAGACACAGGGCAGAAAGTTCCCCTCTTTTTGTTAAAGATATAAGCTGCTCAATCTGTTGTCTGTTTCTGTGATAATGTCAAAATAATTCAGTACTGTAAATGCATTATTGTATGCATTTACATACATGATCATCACATTGATGATCACATTGTTGTGTGATCATCAAATAAAAGATGGCATACAATTTCACTTCCTTGTAATTAACATATATTTGAAATAAATTGATTCTACACATTTGATCTATCAGTTACTTCTGTAGCACCCGTGAAAGTGAATAATTATCAGGTAACAAGATACCTCAAGGCTACAGTCCCACAAACTGGAACAAATCCCTGTCATAATGAATGCACAAGCATATTTGTGTGTGTGTGTGTGTGTGTGTGTGTGTGTGTGTGTGTGTGTGTGTGTGTGTGTGTGTGTGTGTGTGTGTGTGTGTGTAAGTATGACCACAAAAGAACACAAGGCCAACAGCGAAGCTGAAAGCCAGCACTAGGGGAGCTTCATTCAGTGAGTCCTCTGCTGAAATAAGTATGAGCACAAGCTCAAAGCCTGACAGTTAATCGCTGCTTTAGTTACCCGATGAATGCATGTGGTCAGCATACTCACCTTTAGCATAACTCTGGTTCTTACCTGTTAGCCTTCTGCTTTCTTTGCAGGGGATTGCCAACAGCTACTGTCTTGTTCAAAGCAGCAGTTTTAAATAAAATAAAATAAAAGTAATGTTCACATTTCCACTCCTCATAAACTGAAGGCTGCTCTCTCATTTTCTGCCTCACTGCATGCAAATGGAAAGCAGCTGATTGTAACAGCGATTCTGTCTTGAGGATAATTAAAGAACTCATTGCAGGCAAAAAAAAAAAAGTTTGACTTGTGGCTGTAATGTGATTACTGTAATTATTTTTACTACATTATTGTGATACTTGTGTGATTTTCAGTATTACAGAAAAAATTATATTTTTACTTTTTGGTAGTGATGCATTTGCATTAAAGCTCCCCGTTCCTTCTTCTTATTGTATTTAAAGCTGTTGGCAGTAGAGAAAAGGTACCAAATTCTGTAGTTTTGTCATGAGGACAAAGTCTGACTGTGTTTAGTTTCACTGCAATCCATGCTGTACAGCAGGAGTGGACTAACTGACCAAACAAAGAGTAATGTTTCTGTCCGTAGATCAAACTTAAAAGCTTTAATAGGTACTTTGTCACACAGCTGTGGGACTGTGCTAACAAAATGAGGGCTTCGCCATCTCTAAAGGCAAATAGAAGGCTCATTAGCTCCTAAAAGCCTAAATGTATTACACATGCACTCACATGCAAGCTGGAGATCAGCTTCTAGTTCAAAAGACATTGTGCCATGTACAGTGAATCAAAACAAGAACAATGAGCATGACATTACACACAAACAGTCTGTATCCATTAAATGTTAGAAAAGTGATTACGTTTTTCATATGTTAAATTTGCAAACTCGGGGAGATTTTTGTGTAAATTAGTTTAAAAACAAACATCAGCATTAACATGAGCTGTGACTCTCTGAGTGAAGACGAACAGTATCAGAGGCCTGAAATTGAAAACTCCCATCAATCATTTTATAACCATCTGTAAACCGAATGTGCAGCATTATCTACATTTTTAACCACTTTCAGAGATGTCCTGATAAGTCTTGTATCTTCTTTGCTGCATTTGCACATTATCTTATCATCTCCCATATCAGAAACATCCTGTCTCAGAGTGATGCTAATAGACTAGTTCATGCATCTATTATTTCTAGAATGCAATAATTTATTATTATCGGGATATCCTAAAAAACTCCATAAAACCTTCAGTTCATCTGACAGAGCACGCTGCTTTAAGACTGCTGGTTTATTTATCGTTCTGAGGATATTTAACATTAGAATCGGAAGTCGGTCCTTCAGGTTTCAGGCTCTTCTTCAGTGGATCCAACTCCCAGTTTGGATTTGGGACTGTTATTGTGATTTTAGTGCTTCATAAATAAAATCTGAATTCAACTAAACTGAACATAATCACATCCACAACACGTTGGGTGAGAGAAACAGGTAAAATGGATTTAATGTTCTAATCTTTGGCACAATGAAAATAAAATCAGTTTAACTGCTATAAATCAATAAAAACGTGTTGGTACATACAGGCAGGATTTACTCTAAATATGTCATTTTATCACCTCACTTTACATAAAAGCAGCAGTGTCCATGCTTCACCACCCCCCACACCCCCCCAACTCAAGCTCTCAGTCGGATGGTCACGCAAAGCAAACGTAAGGAAACACTTTGTTACAGCAAAGCGAATCTACAAGGCAAAACAGGATTTTCACACTTCCTGTCAGTGTTTGATCTTACTTTTTGCAGTTGTAGAAACACAAAGATTTGATGATTTAAATTCTATTTAAATGTTTTCTACAGTTTATTTACTCTACAGCCTGCCTCTTTGTCTGCGTGCCTCAGATGCAAAACACCTCACACGTAAAGGAAATGACATTCAGAGCTTCTTTTCATCTCTTTCGTGTTTTGTGAAGTCTGTGGTTGGCTGCTGACTTTCCTGCTGGCAAACCACATCAACTGTGTGTCACCTATGTGCGTAAAAAAAAGAGTCCGACGTTTTTTTTTTAAATTTTCTTTATAATCTGGTCATTGCAGCCATTCAACTTTAAAAGGTTTTAGCAAGAATGTTAATTTTAAAAGAAATATAAGAAGCCTGTTTACATGCTCTACAGCCATAAAAGTAACCAATCGTGTTGTATTAAGATCACGTGCACTTTTCTGCTGAACAGCTGCAAGTATGTTATCAGATTAGTAGCCAACTTTCAATTTAACACTTTTACTAATGAAAATGTATAAACAAAATGGTTTTCTGATCAAAAAGGCAATTCTCTGAAAAATACCAGTAAAACAGGTAAATTGAAAGAAAACATCTGTGCAGGAGATGTTTTGGATGGATGGTAACAAAAACACTTCTCAGATTGTTTTCAGATTCTCAGATGAATTCTAAAACTATGTTTTGCTTGACTTGATTTTGCTCATTATTTAAACTAAGATAAGCTGTCTATCTGTCAGGGTATGGAGAAGAGAGGACCTAATGTGAGAAACAGGCAGTTTCAAGCTGTTTCTAGGAATGAGAAAAAACATAAAGGAAAAAGGCCACAAACCAAAAAATGAATCCAAACACACACATAGTAATTCACAAATGTCTTGACAAAGGGCAAAGGGAAGAAGATATAAAATATGAAACTGAAATAGTAAACAAGAATGAACTAACACGGGGGGAGGCATAACAGGACAACAGATAAGTGACAGAGTAAAGACAGAAAACAAAAACATGCAGAAGTTAAAGTCCCTGTATAAACAGATCGTGTTAAACGGGAACCAAACCAGAGAATCGCAGTCATTCCCAAGAAAACCACAAAGTTAAAACTGGAATTAATGACATGAAAAGAAATATAACTCACTGTTAAAATAACATAATAATCAACAAGTTTGACAAACACAAAAAATCTAAACACTAATTACTATAACAGTATCTCATGTAGCAACATAATCTCACAGCAGTTTTTGGAAAACGCAGCTATAAGCTATTGACTGTTTTTAGGCTATTTTCTTTCTGACCGTACTTGCTGGCACACGGTTACACTATATATTAAATATGAGTGTGAATTCTTTAAAGCACTGGTAGAAATCTGTGGTTTGTTAAGCATTTGTATCTGCTGTCCTTCACAGACTGATGACACACTTCCTCAGTCACATTATCTCTTGGGTTTAAAAAGGTCAGATGACGCCTCCTCTGATCTCGGCCATCTTGGCTGCTATGTGAACAACTGAGCCATTGCACTTTTTGGTTTGTCCTGCAGACCAACTTTTTTTTTAACCCACAGTAACCCATATTTCAGACAGCCCAGCCAATTCAAAAACAAGTCTTACACAGTCCTGTCACATTTTAATCTAATAATTTAGCTTCATTAATTCTTTTTTTCTTTTTTAAGTTTTTTAGTTTAGTCTCAGAAAGTTGATTTTGTTCATCTGGACGTAGCGTCGTCAGTGAGACGGGTTCACTGAGAGGACTTCATCACTTGCAGTCCACTCACTCTTATCATCATGGCCCTGTCAGGCCACAGCCCACACTTTTGATATTGCTGCATTAGGGGAATTTCTTCAAATCTACCACAAATGTACAGTTGAATTTCAGGGTAAACAGCCTCAGAGCCACTCTGAGCCCACAAAACAAGATTCTGAAACTAGAGCCATTTAATTACTTTAAATTTTTCATGAAAATGTCCAAAAGGATAAAATGTTGAAGTGATTTGTAGACAAAGACAATGGTTATGGAAGAACACTTCTGGTTATCATTTAGTCCTGCAACTTAAAAACAGAAGGAGCAAATCTGAGCTTTTTTTCACACTTTGTCAGAAACTGAATTAGTGTAATTATTTTTTGAAACCTTAACTTCTTCCTACGAAGATTTCATTACCGGCTGAATGATAAATAAGTCTAGGCATGGATGCAAAATGCCGTTTATCTGGTTTACAGAGACATTCAAACACAATGCAGGGTTTTTACGGTTTTGTTTTTTTTATCTGTGGTTGAAGTAGGCTGTGCACTCACTGCAGTGCCATGTTCATTTCCCCTTGCAGCAGCTTTGCTTCTCTAAACAGCAGAAACCATGTTTGTGCTCGACAGCTGGGCTCTTTTTCTTTAAAGCTCAACAGTATTTGCTTGCAGTGGTAAGATCACTTTTTCATTTATGACCTCTGGAAACACATTTTATCAAGTAAGGTTTTGTTAATCTTGTGCTGCACTTCATAGCTTTGTGCTGAGGCCACCACAGTTGTTGATTGTTTGTCGGCACTTTCACTATAGCTGAGCTAAATCAAATTTATCTAAACTGACTTGGGTCTTTGAGGGTTCCATGCATTTATTCTGAAAGAAACTCGGTCTCCTCATTAGAATCATAATAATTTTGATTTTAGACTTCACCCTTTAAACTCTCATGATCAGACCTTTGTCCTAGAGTGACAGTTAAACATGTGCATTAAGTGTATTTAAAAATGTAAATCTGCAACTCTTCTGAAAATTGTGCCAGAAGCAACATCCTATAACCACTGTTAAAGATAATATTATTAATGACACATTTCTAACATTTAAATGACAAAACTGTATGCAGTAAGGTGTCTGGAGATCTCAAAGTATATAAAGACTCTTCACACACCCCAAAAGCCACTTGGTACCATTTCGGCAGTTTTCTGAGCAGGTCAGGGGATTTTTTTCCACTTGCACGGGAGGTCTGTGGAAAGTGTTTGAAGTGCCTGAAATATTTTTAGCATGTAAGCAACATAGCTAGCAACACTGCACTGCATTAGTGCACATATAGAGAAGTCTCTAAAATATTAGTTGACCTAGAACTTTCAGGAAGGAAATAAGACATGCTTCTGAAACAGTTCACCTACATGTGAATAATGGAGAAGTGTAAACACGACTGTGCAGATAATCCGCCCGTATGTTATGGGACGAAAGAAACTGACTGGCTGTTTTCCAGTGTTTAAAATACCCACACCTGTGTAATATAACAGTTTCTGATGAATGCTGGATATTAAAAAGTGTGATATATGTCCATATCTGATCTTTGATAGGTGTTTGTTTAACTTGTGCATCATGCATCGTATAACTTAATCGTATACCTATGAGACTAATGAATGCATACATTTATCTACTTAAAGTGGTTCTTATTCTGCTTTTCATTATTTTCTGTCTTATACCGTTATAATCATGCAAGCTCAACTTTAATATGACTTCAAATACAGTTGTCTCTGTATATACACAAGTAACCTGTGTCTCGATAAGCAGTGTTGAGAGGACTGTAAAGCGAGACAAGCACACAGCCAAAAAGCCAAAAACCTTTATTTAGTTAAAGGGAAACACAGGCATCCATAAAACACACAGGAGCTAAACTAATACTTTGGAAAAACTCAGGAGCCAACCAGAGCAGAGCCTTAGTGTGTTCCAGAAAGAGAGTTTACTTCAACGCTGAGTCAGTTACGGCGTTACAGACTCTGTGAACTTAACTGGATAGTTTCTCTTTGAGTTTATCTCTGATTCCTTCCTTCCTGCTGCTCCTGCCGCTGTCAAAGTTCAGAGCGAGGTGAATTATTCTGCAGAAATTGATCCTGATATCCCAGTAAAATGTGGGTTTGTTCCACTGACAACTTCATGGTTAATAAAAATAGTAAGTGTGGGAACAATGATTACATCACAGATTTATTCTCAGCTCAGAGTTAAATCTTCAGACTATCGGACAGTTTCCTTGCAGTGGAACTGAAAACTCAGAGTTGCTGATTAAACTCAGATTGTTCAGTCTGCTTCCTGGAATACGGACTAAAAAAGACAGGAGTGAAAACGAGACAGACAGTCACAGAAATAAACTGAAAACAAGAGAAAAAACAAAACCAACAACCAAAGTAAAACAGGAAGTGAACAGACAAGCAAACAGGCAATACTAAAAAAAAGAAGACAGTAAAACAGAAAAAGGAATATTAAACATTTAAAACCATCTATAGGAGAACAGGATTATAACGTATAAAGACAGAGCTGAAAAAGAGTGGAAGGAAAAAATATATATAGATATACATATACACACATAAGCAGCACGGTGAGCTCATGATTAGCACTGTTGCCTCACAGCAAAAATGTCCTGGGTTTAAATCCACCATCTGCATCATTGCATGTTCTCTTTGTGTCTGTGTGGGTACTCACAGGTACTCCAGCTTGGGGTTAGGTTAATTGGTTATTCTATATTTCCTATAGGTATGAATATGATGTATAAAACAGGGCTCCAAAACTAAAAAACAAACTAAAACTCGGGGATCTGCAGAGCCATGTGAAACCATGGACCTGCTCTAAACATTTTTCCTGCTCTTTAGTCTTTAGGATGTCAGCGAGGTCATATGCTGATCTCATGCCTAACTGTATACAGATAGGCTCCATCAATCAGAAAAAAGTTGGCTTATAGGTGGAGTCTGTGAATCTATATTTGTTTTTTAATATAGACTCTTGTGTTTTCTTCCCGTCTCTCGGTTGAATTACACAATAAGTAACATGCCTGACATTTTGGCCCTTTTCTGTTTTCTCTTTTCCAGCCACACAATGTTTCCAAATACTTCTCTGCCCACCCACACACTCAAGTCTTCTAAGGATGACCAGGCGGTGGACATTGATGCCATCATGGACAATGTCAGCATCATCCTGTACACACTGACTGTTGTACTCGGCATCACAGGGAACTCTGTGGTGATCTGGGTGGCTGGATTCAAACTTAAGGTAGATATGGAGTGTGTCATATATTTGAAATAACTTAATATTTACAGTTTAATATTTTACAACTCCCTATAAGACTGCAGGTTTTCACTGCAGGTAACATGTATGTGTAACATTGCATGTGACAAATAAAGGCGGGATTTATTGATTGATTGATAAGCGTCAGTAACATTTGGGTAATAACATATTGGGATAGAAGACAGCACAGATATGTGACTTTGTCAGTGTCACAGCACCAACACAGGAAACCCAAAGCAACTTAAAATAAAAGAAAACAACAACAACAATTTGTCCCCTGCTTGTAACTTTTGCAGGGAGCTGTAACCGGGATAATTCACTTGAGTATAGGGGCTCTTTTCTTTGTTACATAACATAAGATTCACACTCATATAAACACTAGCTGTTTTTGCTAATGCTAAAACTTTGTAAGATGATTTAAAATGTGGGATTATTCATGAAAAGTGATACAAATTAAAAATGCAATTCTAGTCAACATTTTATCTCACGCAATCCTTTTTTAATTTAACCTTCAAAATAGGCAAAACTCGCGTATAAGGAAATCAACTTAAGTCCTAAAAAGCTTATGTCCAAGTGTGTCATAGCTAAAGAAATAAGAGTTTGGCAAAGGGTTAACAAGAGAAGTAATGATCAGTGAGCAGAAACTTGGCTCTGTGAAGAGAAAGAGGAATAATAATGTCTTGTCTTGTCTTGAGAGTGTCGATGGAGAAGTACAGAGACAGTCAGAAGTAGTTGTTCTGTGTCTTTGTGGATTTAGACAAAGCATATGATAGGTTCCATGAGAGGAACTGTGATACTGTATGAGGAAGTCAGGAATGGTAGAGAAGTATGTGAGGGTGGTGCAGGACATGACGACATGAGGACAGTGAGATGGTGGTAGGATGTGTGATAAGAGTTACAGATGGGTTGAAGGCATCAGGAATCTGGGCCCTTTTTGTTTGAAGTAGTGCTGGACAGGCTGAAAGATGAAACCAGGCAAGAGTCTCTGTGGACTGTGATGTTTGCAAATAACATTGTGATCATAGTGAGAGCAAGTGAGCCTGGAGAGGTGGAGGTATGCTCTGGACAGATGTGGAATGAAAGTCAGTAAAATCAAGACCAAATACATGTGTGTGAAACTGATGGACATGCAGGGAGTCGAGATATTTGAACTCATCTGCCTTCACTACCTGTGTTCAACTATCCAAACTGACAAGAAAAAACAGAGAAGAAGAAAGTAGCAAGAGTGAAAGAGGAGATTTACAAGAGAAGGTTTAGTGAGACATGCTATGATTAATGGTTTGAATACAGTGACATTAACGAAAAGACAGGAGGCTGAGTGAAGAGCTGAAGATGCCAGGATTTTTATTGGGAGTGATCAGAATGAACAAGATTAAAAATTAGTACATCAGAGAAACAGCTGGGGCTGAGCAGTTTGGAGGCAAAGGGGGAAAAGATGAGGAAAAGAGGAAACCCACCAAGGAGGCGAATCCTAAAGGAATCCGTGAATCTGTAAGAAGAAGAAATGAGGAATTACTCACAACACATTATGCCTGACTGGGGATTTGTTGCTTGTAAAAGTGGATAGTGTGGCTAAATTTATATATAAATATATGTTTAACTAACAGTTTTGAATGTGGTCAGTCCACTGAGTAGTCAGTTGTTATTGTTGCAAACATATCGATCCCCTCTACCTGACCCAATAGGACATGGTTAACACTTTTCTCAAGGTACTTACTTTACCCTGCAGGACAGCACTAGTAATGGGTGGTTACCAGGTTTAAGGTCAAACTGTTTCCAGGTAAAAACAGCAGATGAGGGCGCGTACTAGTGATGCACAAATGATAATGGCAATTCAGTGCCATCAAAATCTTTGATTTTCTTTATGTTCCTGTTATCATTGTTGTTTTATTTTCTTCTTCATCCACAGCCAAAGGTCACCAACGTGTGGTTGGTGAATCTGGCGATAGCAGACCTGATCTTCTGCTTTACACGAGTTTTCTCTCTCACTAAGAAGCTCTTCTTTGAGCACTGGCCTTTTGGTCTCTTCGTCTGCAAGTTCAATGGCTTCTTCAAATATGCCAACATGTTCTGCTCTGTCTTCCTGCTGGCTGTGATCAGTCTGGATCGAGTGCTCTGCATCTGGCAGCCCATCTTCACAAAGCGTCGACGCACCATGTGGGTAGCGAGGATGGTGGCGGTCTGCGTCTGGATCGCAGCGATCCTCTTCAGCATTCCCTACTTCATCCATCGCCAAGTCTACCTGGGCAAGAAGAACCTAAGTAAGTGCTCTGTGGATCCGAAGGAGAAGGCAGAGGGGTACAACAGCACCAAAGCTGCTCTCTACTCCATCCGCTTCCTGTGTGGCTTCATATTTCCCTTCATGGTGATTCTGGTCTGTTATATCTTGGCCGCTGTAGGAATCAGACGCACCCGCCTCTCAGGGAAATCCCGCCCCCTGCGTATACTCGCAAGTTTGGTCATTGCCTTCTTCCTGTGTTGGGCACCTTACCATTGCCTCTTACTGGTGAAGATGGTGGACAATAAAAATGCAGTGGTGAAAATCTGGTACCCTGTAGCAAAGGGTGTTGCCTACTTTAACAGCTGTGTGAACCCATTGTTGTACTTCTGCATGGGGCTAGATGTGAGGGGGCGATTCAGGCAGAGTCTGATGGGTGTTTACAAAAGAGCTCTGGCAGACGATGTTGATGGACAGACATCTCACTCCAACGATCGCTCTTTGGATGAAACCTCGGTGTCAAAGCACAGCACTCTCATAGCGGAGGGATCAGGTCTGACAGCAATGGGTGTGGCTAAAGTTTAAGTTTTCCCTCTATTGATCCTGAAGCTTGGTAAATGGCCTGCATGGTAAATGGCCTGCATTTGTATAGCGCTTTTCTAGTCCATAGGACCCCAAAGCGCTTTACACTACATTCAGTCATTCACCCATTCACACACACATTCACACACTGGCGATGGCAAGCTACATTGTAGCCACAGCTGCCCTGGGGCGCACTGACAGAGGCGAGGCTGCCGGACACAGGCGCCACCGGGCCCTCTGACCACCACCAGTAGGTGGCAAACATGGGGTTAGTATCTTGCCCAAGGATATTTGACATGCAGCCAGGAGGGAGCCTGGGATCGAACCACCGACCTTCTGATTAGTGGCTGACCTGCTCTGCCACCTGCTCTGCCACCTGAGCTACAGCCACCTTGCAGGACATGTTTCAAACCTATCACAATATCATCATTATATGATACGTACACTGGTAATGAAATAAATAGAAAGTCTTCACCTATGATTGGATTGATCCACAGTGGCTCAAAAAAAAAAAAAAAAAAAAAAAAGGAGCTGTGAGAAGTGTTTGTGTCCACCTTAACCTGGATTAGCTGGGTTGATGTATCACAAGAGAGGATAAGGACAAAATGAGTATATTGGATAAATTATCAAACTGACACCCCTCCATGATATCAAAGTACTACACGATTGTGGCATTATTATTATCCACACCAACCTAGGGACTAAAGAACCAGATTTAAACAGGTAAGTTTATGTGGATAAAATAATTCAAGAAAACAAAGAAAAAATATGTTTAGATTAGACAAGAGGGCAGCATACTAATAATCAGCTAATGCTAACAAGCTTGAATAGCTAGGGTCACACACTAACACAGAAGCCTGTCAGACAATGCTCAATGATATACAGACGTCTCGGACAGCCTGCTTGTACAGTTACTGCACAGTTTTATTTTTCATGTTTGTTTTGTTTGTTCAACAAAGAGAAAATAGTCTGACTCCAGATGAAAAGTGTACTTAAAAAAATAAAGATGGTCACTTTGTACTTGATTTCGGCATAGTGGGCAAAAAATATTTAAACAACTAATGTTGTAATGCAAGTACTGGGACACTCCTTCTTTCACATTTTCCTTCTCAAACCAGATTTTATTTCCTGGTGGTGCATTTGAAAAATTCCAAAATGTGAGCAAGTCATTTTTGAAAATATTTATTTTTAAGAAAAAGCTATTGTGTTGTAGATATATTGCAAAGCTGTTTTACATTTTATGTTGTTCAAAGTGGGCAGCACGTGATATAGTGGTTAGCACTGTGGCCTCACTCACAGGCCAGTGTGGAGTTTGCTTGTTTTTCCTGTGTTTGTGTGGGTTCTCTCTGGGTACTCTGCATTCCTCCCACAGTCCACAGACATGCAGATAGTGGTGTTAGGTTAACTGGTGACTCTATATTGCCCATAGATGTGAGTGTGTTAGTAGAGCCCTGGATGTCACATTTCTGAGTTGTGTTTTTGAACATGTAATTGAAGTCACAGAAGAAAAGTGGAACTGTGATGAAGCAGAGGGAAGTGAGACTACTAAAAGAAAAGCCAGTAATAGCTTTAGTCATGACTCTGTCTTGTGTATAGAGGTCATTCTGAAAGTTAGATGAATGGAAACTGTGCAGTGTACCAAGCTGCATCGTGTGGTTTTTGTTTTTCGTCTTTTTTTGTTACCATGAGAAATGCGTCAAAAGTATTTCATCCATCCTGTGTGTATCTTACTGCTACTTAAGAGGGAGAGTGGGCTGAGACTTTTATGGCAGTCAAATATTATGAACATGGAATCTAGTTAATATCAATCCATAGCAACCAGCTTATAAAACACAGCACCAGAGTATTTACTCAGCTGCTTACACATCACTAACTCTGTTTACAATAAAACCGTTTATCTGAAACCTGCTGTTCCTTTTGTTTAATAACATTTCTGCCATAAAAATATGATTAAAGCTAAACGGAGTAGCTGCAATGATGTGCACGTGGGTTTTTGTAAATAACTGAAATATAACATATGACTTTGTAAATAGCACTGTCTATGGGATTATATTGATAAAGTTTAATTTTGAAGTGTCATTGTGCGAAGGTCTGCAATATGTCTGTGCTTTAAGAAACAGTGTTCATTAAAAACTGAAAAAATAAAATTGCTTTTGTGTTTTATGTTTACAATAAAAAGCTCAACTACTAATTGAAATCCTTCTGACATTCAGTGTAAATCACACAGGAAGTAAACGTGTTCAAGTTGTATTATATGGACGGAGATATTTCTCTTTGACATAGTGCACCAGAGTTTGCTTCCTTTTACAGATTTGCCACTGAATTTCCACAACCATAACCTTAACCATACTGAAGCTAACATGCACAGACAATAACACTAACATTCAGCTTATAAACTATATTTTATACCTTTGTGGAGATGAACAACATCAGTGTTCTTGTCTGGGGATATGTAGGTTAAGACATAAATTACAATGATGTAAGATTAAGACATACTTCATCACATGACCTGGTTCTTTGGCTTTTGGCATCATGAAGAGAAGCTGGGGGTTATCAGACTCTTCTACTGTGTTGAACTGCCATTTATGAATTCTGGAGGGCAGTACAATGTAAAAACTTTTATTTGGCCCTTTGTCAGTTACATTTCTTAAAGAACAAATAACTACTCAAACTGAACAAAAGTGGCACTTTTTATTTTGCTTCAAATAAATCTCTAAATGAGCAACTTGACTTTCTGTCTTGAAAAATTGAAATGGAGCTAAGCTCTAGATTCCCACTGGCCTCATTGTGGTGTGGCTCAGCCCTAAACAAGCTGGCTAAATCAAAACGAAACTACGTATTGACAAGTATCTTGCCTTCAAACAGAAAGCTATAATATGTGAAATGAAATGGGGGAAAAAAGCAAAGAGGATGTGATCTGATTATTTCTGCGAAACCACTGTTCAGAAGAAGCTTTCAGGAGAAGAGGAAGCTTTTATTTAGAAGAACATTATTACAGACACTGTCCTCATTTTGGATATTTCTTGTCTGCTACTTTCACTGAATCAGACTTTAAAGACTTTGAAGCCATATGTCACAGTGGCTGGTGTCCCCTTCTTAGATATAATGCATGTGCACATACTACCACCTATATATGAAGTAGTGGATTACAGTTTCTGTAGTTTACACATAAAAACAGTCAAAGATTTTATGTGTAACTAAAAGTAAAATGTTAAATGTGTTTGGAGTACCTCTGACTTGGTAACAATAGCCAAACCAAAATTTTCATATTGATGCCAATACTATTATTTGGCGTGAAGGCTGCCACATAAATTGGTTCAAATGTGAAGGAGGGAGGAGGAAAATGCTCTACTTCGACTCGTAACAAATCCTTTAACATATTTTACATTTTTTGTGAATGAGTTAATGTTGTTTGCTCGTTGGGTGTTGTTTTGAAAGTACCTGGAGTTGGGTGAACATCAGCACCTTTAACTAATATTATTTTTCTATTATGTTCGAGTCATGAAGTGTTATAAATACAGGAAATATCCAGATCCAATTTTAAAGCTAAAAATAACATTTAAAGTAAGTTAAAAATCAAATCAGTGTCATTGTCAGGGCTCTGTGTGCGAGCAGGCGGCGAGGGAGGAGGATCCAATAGTGATTTGACGTTCTGTATCGAGGCTTCGAAGCTTGTGTCGAGTAATTGAGGGGGCGTTTCCGCCATGCGCGTATCGAGGCTTGCTTCATTTATGGGAGGAGCTGAAAATGATGACGTCCGAAGCCTCGCTGCCCGGCTGTTCCACGTGACTGGTTCATGAAGTGGTTCGAACTTTGCCGCGAGATATGACAGGGATATAAAGCCCTCAGACTTCATTCAAAATGTGGGTGTTTGATGGAGAGTTGCGGTTAGTGAGTTTGGAGACAGTTTGGAGGTTTATGAGAGTGAGGAGAGAAAGTCAGGAGAGAATGGAGCCAGCTAAGAAGAGGAGGATGTCCTCCCCTGTGTTTTGATCTTATTCCTCCCAACAAGGTATGTAAATTTCTACAGAAGATGTATTTTCATAATACTGATGGTGCAATACAATTTATGTTAAGTGGCTTTACTTTTGTACAAGGTGAAGTGTTTGCTATGTGCCAGGGAGCTGGGATATAACAACAACACCTCATCCATGCTTAGGCACTACAGAGCTTTGCATGAGAATAAGGGGAACACAGATTGTGGAGCAAGACCAGGTGAGCCATCAAATGCCATGATAATATAGCATGCAGTAATGTTACTAAATGATATAACAATATTATACAGCTGTAATAGGTTACGTGTGTGATATTTATATTTGTGCTTTGTCTTTATTGTCTTTCCTCAGGAGAACAATCTCAAATAGATGAAGACCTGGTTAGCATGGTGATCGAGGACTCCCAGCCATTTAGCATTGTGGAGGACAAAGGATTTAAAAGATTTGTTAAATCATTAAATCCTAGCTATGTTCTCCCCACTAAAAAGGTCATAAAAGCAGTGGAAATTTAGTTTTTACAGAATAAAATGTGAACAGGCAGGACTGAGGCTCAAAGCCTCAGTGTGTAGCTGTCCATACCTCAACGTTACAAAAGCACAACCACTGTCCACACCCCACCTCACAGTAAATGATCATTTCCATTTTAAGCATTTCCAAATAATCATTTTCCATACTGCCAGTATAAATATACAAAGTATACTGCCATCACTACAATATACATGTTTTACACACTCCTTTTGTTGTTGACATTTACAGGCAGTGTGCAAGAGGCCATACTTCAAATTCTTGCCAACTAATATTTTTACGTCCTGTAGATGTCCTACTAGAGCAAATGAAGCTTCAAGACGCTTTGCGCTGGGGTGAACCAATTGGATGAAAAGCTTCAATGCTTCATGAAGCTTCATCTGCCCATCACTAGGATCCAAGCGCAGGACTCAGACACTGAACTGTAAATCAAACCTCAGCTTTATTGCTGGCATAAAACAAAAGAAGAAACTGAGCAATGGTACTGAACATGGAAAACTGCCACAAAAACACACATGCATGATCTGATGGTACGACGCAACACCAAGCATGGGAAAACACAGGGCTTATATACA